TTCCTGAAGTACGAGCACACAGCGGACAATGCCGCGCGCTTCCCGCACCAGGTATGTTTCTCGCCACATTCACAACCCCGATCCATACCACACAGATGCCATGTGATCCCAACCACGCAAATAATAAGATAATAACAATAATAATAATAATAATAAAATAATAATAAGAAAAAATTCAAGAAACCTGAATGGGGATACAAAAATCTAACTCGCAAAAATTATACTGAAGTCCGAGTAGTCAAGGCAAGAGCAGATAGCGCAATGTAACCGAGTAACCTTCTATTAGAGAATGATACAGCAAAATCGTGATTCACTGTCCAACCCAATCGGGCAACACCAACCGCATAACCCAATGTAGCTCACTCTTGAATGGTGTCAAACTCCCTATCTACTCTATAGACTAAGCCTAGTTCACAACTACAGTATGGAGCATTCAGACAACTTGACGACCAGCGGTGATGATGTCAACCGAAATGCCGACCTTCTCTCTACCCAGGTACGTTTCTCCTCTTCACCCTAGTCCCCAACTCACAGATGCCACGTGCCCATAGGAACCACAGTGCACATAATAATAATAATAATAATAATAATAATAATAATAATAATAATAATAATAATAATAATAATAATAAGTGCAAGGAAAATAAGCAACAGCGGGATGACACCCCAGATCTCGTCATCATAGCGCAAGCCAAACATTCATACCGGTGGCCAGAGAGCAGCATTGCATCAATAATACACCAATGGACGTTCGTAGCACTGAAATCAGTGCCCGAGGAGAGCATACTCTCTCCTCTCAACACAAGAGCTCAGTCCCATCACACTCACACTCGGTGCTCAGCGCCCAGCCTACTCCTACACGGCTACTACAGCCTATAACTGACAAGGCAACTGTTGACATCAGCTACAACCCGAAGTACTTGAAGATGTCACCCATGTAGACCATCGTCAATACAAGGTAAGTGCCCTTACATCATCATCATCATCATCATCATCATTATCATCATCATCCTTCACTTATCCCCTCCTTTCTCCTCTCTCCCTCCTTTCTCTCTCCTCCTTTCCACTTTCTCTCTCTCTCATCTCTTTGTTTTGTTTTTCCCCCTTCTCTCCTTCGATCTTTCTCCTCCGATTTCTGCCTTTCTGTTACATCCCCAGATGGACGAGGTAAGCCAAGGATCCGCGGCGTGACGATCGGGACTGATGGACCACACAGTGCGAATGGAATCTTCGACAAGTCACGTGCACGCACACCCACATGCATTCTTATACGTGCATAATGGGCTAAATAGCGCAGGGAAGACTTAGATACAGAGACTGACCTCACCGGGACTGACCCCTATAGTGCATGACAACGTAGCAGAATGCTAGAACACCAGCCCGAATCAACGTGGCAATGCGGACCAATCATACATCATGCTCATCGCAAGGTGTGTACGGGCCTGGCGCTATACCTAGGAGGGAAACGCCAGAGCCGAACATACACAGACGAAAAATGATGGGAACAGACAAACGGACGGGGTCGGACAAAAAGAGGGAGAGAGACGTGAATGTCGTCATCACCAAGTCTTCGCCACCAATCCCCGGATAATCCCTTGTTGCCATATCTAAAGTCCTAAAGCCGAGTTTGGATCCGACGTCACGAAGCTCTATCTCTCTCTCTCGTAGTCTGCAGATGCAGTGAAGTCAGATGTTGGGAGGGGAGAAAAAGATGGGGGATTGAGAGGAGGAAGACGAAGAACTCTCTCTCCCTCTCTCTCCCTCTCTTTCCTTGATCTCTTCCTCCCTTCGATCTCTCTCCCGAATCGTGAATGTCTCGCGCACTCATATTCCATCGACAGGACGAGCAAACAGAATGAATTTTCTGTTGAAACGGGGAAATATACATTGCCACTTTTTAGTTTGCTCGGTCTATCGGTCCAAGTAGCGTGCAGCGAGGCGCAAGTGGGAGGTTCATCGGCGCTCTCTTTCCCTCTCTCTCACACACACACCTACACGCGCTCACTTGCACACATAGTAGTGCATACTTCGATGTTCTGACAAAGGTACGATCGATTTCGCCCTTCCCTTTCAGTGGGAGCTCCGAGTGGCCAACCGCGGAGTCGGAGCTCACACGCACAGGTACTCAACACACACACACACACACACCTTTCATCGCTTAGGATTAGCAAAATGGAATGAATCTACTGCTGAAACGTGGAAATATACACTGACACATTCTCTATTTCTAGAATTAATAATGGTAATAATGACAGTAATTGTAATAATAATAACGATAATAATATTATTTAGTCTTTGTAAATAAATAAAATATTAAATGTACGTGAACTTATCCGATACAGCCACTATAAAAGAGGCACAGCGTCCAACATTGACGCGCTAGAGCAGCCGATAATTGAGCAACATCCTCCTATCTCTCCCCCCTTTTCGACCTCCCTCTCTCTCTCTCTCATACTTTTCCTTACACATTCGCACACACCTTGTAGCCCACTGTATCGGTGCCGACCAGGTCAATAACCGACCTCTCCTAGAAGTATGAGATAGCGTATTGGGAAACTTGGATCCGAACTATCGATGTTGCAATGCAGCCTCGGACAGACATCATCCTCATCATTCCATGGCGTGAAGCGGTCTGGCGCTCACACAGGAAGAATGTGCCAGCCCCAACCATACACAGAGGAAGAAGAGGGGTGTTTAGACAAAGGAGAGGGGAAGATGGGAATGTCGTTACACCAAGTCTTCGGCACAGGCTCAAACAGTCTCTCGTCAAAATGTCTGAATCCCGATGTCGAGTCAAGATCCAATGTCGTCAAGTCTCGAGTCACAATTCTTTCTCTGTGTGTCGTAATCTGCTGATACTGAGGAGTCAGGCGGCGAGAGGGCGAGGAGAAGAAGGTGGACTAAGAGAAGGAAGACGAAGAACTCTCTCTCTCTCTCATACACACACATGTCAATCGTATACACACACACACACACGTACTCACTTACACACGTGCCTATTGTATATACACACACCTTAAAGCGAAACCAATATGTCCATATTTAGTGGTAGGTTCATTGGGTTTTATTTTATTTATTTATTCATTTATTTATTTCATTTTATCATTTTTTACTTATTATATTGTTATTATTATCTTTGATGGGGTATCGGGATTGGTTGCGAGGAACGGGACTTACCCGTTCTTTTCTCCTGCTCCTCGTCGTCGTCACCGTAGTCGTTAGAGTCGCCGTCGTTGTCAGCCCCTTCGCTGCTATACCTTGGTCAGGTAAGTATTGCCTCTCCACTTCGCCCTCTTCTTCTCTCTCCTCTTTCTTCCCCCCCTGCTCCCTTTCTTTCGTCTGTTGTCACGGTCAGTACCGTCATCGTCGCCGTAGGTGGATCTCCCTTTCCGGCGGCAAACCGTCAAGACCACAGTGTTCCTGACACTTCACCGGCCCATTCAATCGGTAGGTGCGACGATGTGTGTACCAAGGGCAGGGACGTAATCAGTGCAAGCAGATGACGCGCTTACTAGGCATCCCTCGTTCAAGACCGATAATTACAACAGTCTATCCGTTGCGACAGGCCTGTTTCCCGTCCTTTCTTCTTAGTCTCCCTCCTCCTGATCCTTCCTTTTCTTCTTCTTCTTCTTTTTGTGTGTTCTCCTCCTTCTCCGCCCTGCCTTCCAAGCGCTTCCCCTTCTCATGATCTGTCCTTCTCGAGGATGCGGAATAGTATCGAGCGGCCGAGCTAGAAGCCCCGTACCCACTGCGGAGTCCTACCAGGCGTAGTCGGTTGGCTCCTTACTAGGTGAATCCGTCCCAATATCGGGGAGTGATTCATTTGGGCACCTCGGGGTAGGTAGGCCGTCGAGAAAAATAACAAAAAAAGTAAAAGAAATCAAAACTAAAACAACGAATCTAACGTGATTCAACCTCACGGTTCATCCTTACCTTGCAAAGTGTCGGAGCCCCACGACACTCGGTTCTAACTAACAACTAACTATACTAACTCCTACTTGTAAGGTCGCGGGTTTGAATCACGGATGCTCAATCTTAGGCAAAACGAACAATAGAGCTCCCTGTCAAAAGGGAGCTAGCTCGGAGGGCGTCGAGCCTTGATCCCCAGATCCTCCACATATCAATCCCGTACTGCAACCTACTGAGCTAGCTCCCACTTCGGTTAGAATAGGAGTAGCTCTAGTATATATAAAGTAACGCAACTCAATCCAACCAATGGCCTGAGCCCACTGTAGCCTACGGGATCATGCATGTTTGCCTATCTGCGTGCCTATCTAAATGTCTGCCGCCTTGGGTGCTTGCGTGACCCGCAAGGGCACATATTTCAACGGAAGGCCCGAAGGGCCGGTACTCAGCCGTGGTTGCGGCATCGAGGGTCGCGGCAGGGTAGATTCTCAAGTGGCGGGCAGGTTGGCACCACACCACATCGAGGTAGACGTGGCGGGTACTCGGCTCGGAGGCTGAGTCGGGGAAGGTAAAAGATCGAAATTTTTAGAACCCTGAGTACCGGAAGGAAGACAGACACTCGACTAAGTCTCAGTGCGTGTCATAGTCCTACCTGACACAATCATCAGTCCAACTGACCCTTTGACCTTTTCCGTCGAGGGGCATTACTACTGATCCTAATCACCATAGCGTGCGTTATAGTAACGCGCGCACACACTTAACGAAATTTTCTCACCGATTCTTGCCCCGGTCTCAGTGACCGAGGATTTTTGCTTTCAGCGTCACGCCAAGCGTGCACACCCCTTCTCGTTCCAGACTGGCTACGTCATGGTGGCTGACGCCACCTCCGTGTTAAATGCAAAGACATGGCAAAATACCCTTGTAAGGGTATTTTGTCGACAGTATCCCAGACCTTATTAAGCGACGTCCCCGACGCTCGGAGAACTATATGCACATAAAGGTGTTTTCCGACAAGCAATTCGTCAAATCCGAATCCTGAAATGAAATGTGGTTTCAGGATTGATGTCGTCACCTTACTTTTCACTATTACTGCCGGGATTTTAACTCGGGTCTCCCACATAAAATATAATGACTGAAAGTGGGGATACTAGATCTGTACTACAGTATACGAAATAGTTAAGCATGACAACACACCTTTCCTTCCCCCACACCCTTAGTCTTTGGTCCAGGTATTCGTTGGTTGTTTTCAGGGCCGGTAGTCGCGTACGAACTCAACCCGTCAAACGCGTCCTAACCGAGACCTTGGGTGTTCAACTCTTGATATGACAATCCAAAGTTGTATGTCGTCCTGCCCGAAGTCTAATACAGGAGGACAACGGTTTCCATCCTGACCCACCACAGTACTGCTGATCAGACCGGAGTTGTGGCCCACCGCGTTGTTGTTTATCGGTGGTTACCCTCGTTGGTTGCGCAACGAGGGGATATCAATCCTATTCTTTAAAAATTTTCTAATCTCGACCCCTTCGACATCCACCTGAATAGATCTTTTCATTGGGGTGGTCACCCCTCTAGTTTCTCTTCTAGGCCATAGTCGAAGGGTACGCTGCCTGATTATGCTAGGTCAGCAGCCCACGCTGGGAGTTACGTCCCAACGATGCCAATTTTCCACCATAGGCTTGGTAATTTATGCCCTCAGGTTAACCCTTGAGGCGGATGAATGATGCTTTTTAAATAAACAAAATAAATGAGATTTCCAATAATTGAGCATTCGTCAGACTGCCACTCAGGGTTGTGCCCTCAAAGTCTTTGATCATAGTTCGGTGAGGCACACACCTCGGGGTCATTTTGTATATATATAACCATTATTTTATATATATATATATATAACCATTATTTTTAAAATAGGCTTTTATTGACTTTTTGCTTGTCAGAATCCACAAAAATAAAACATCACTTTCATAGAGATTTCCAAAAGAATTTCTGCAACAGAAATGATAAGACTCAAAGGAGTCTACCCATGTCGTAGCATGGTTTCAAACAAGAAATGTACAATCAATCTAGCTTTTGAAGCTCTACAAACTCATTAGACTTTCACATGAGATACAAATCCGCCCATTCCTCTATCACTTCTTTAGATCTCAACAGAGTCTTAGTAGTGATAGACGAAGGGAGATCTTAGGTTACCAGAGACTCAATCAAAGACAAAGACCTTCACACAATGTGACAAGTGCGTCATGTTCACCAGCTCATCCCTCTGAATGATATATATAAATATGAGTATTTTACAGAGTCAGATCAACACTCCATTCTACTATCCCTCAAATACTTCTCATGTCATTTCCTATACTACTTCCTATGCTAAGTCTCTTCATCTGACTGAAGAAAAACACACAACTTGTCTCACTTCTGTTCTCATGTCCAACTGAAGAAGAAAAACATATCCTCTTCCTCTAATTTACACCTTTCTCTCTCTCATAACTGTCCTTTCAAGCCGATTTAAGTCATAGTTTACTCAAAAATCTACCTATTCCTACCTAGAAATCAACTGGCATTCCCAGTATCCTGTGAAGTGCTACCCTGCCTCCCTCAGGTATCCTGGGAATGGTCTGCCCTGTGCCGGCCACCAATCTCTTATGACTATCATATTTGGTTTCTCCTTCCTTTATATAAATTGCTAGAATGGAACACTCATCCCTGAGGTGCCCTTCTTGAGCGCAGAAGAAACATCTCTGTCCAACCATGCTAGTCTTGATTTTCCTTATGTCTGGCTGGATTGAAGTCCTAGCCTGATCTTCAGCCACCTTTGGTGAGTGCAACTGGGATTCCCTTTGCCTTTTACCCTGGCCTGGCAGAGGCATAGCCACACTCTCACTTACTTCTTTTTCTGGTGCAGGAGACTCTTCTTTCTTCTCCTCAGTCTGTGCCCCCTTCTCTTCACCCCCTTTTTTTTCCACCATCACTGTGGCTTCCTTCTCTTTCCCCTGTTGGCTCAGTCTGAATTTCTCCATTCCTCTCAATATTTCTTCTCATCTTTTCTCCCACTCTTGTCCCAATTTTTTTCTTTCTGAGATTTCATTGTCCAAGTCCTGCCCTAACACACTGACGTCAGAAACCAGACCATCCACCCTTATTTCCATCTTACCTCTTGTGGCCACTTCCTCTTCCAGTTCTCTGCTCCGCACATTCAGGGTGACCCTCAATTGGCTCATTTCTTTTTGCAATTCCTCCTTCTCTTCGTTCAATTCTCTTACTTTCTTCCTCATTTCTTCCATATCTCTCATCAACTTCTCCACCTGGCCATCATTCTCATCTTCCTTCTTTCCTATCCCACTTGTCTCTTCCTTGTCCCCAATTGGCCTTTTTTCCTTAGTTCTCTTGACTTTGGGAGCCTTGCCTCCTCCCTTGACCTCCTTTCCCTCTTCATCTTCTACTTCTTCCCCTTTTTCACTCACCCTTTCTTGTACCTCTTTCCTTCCACTCTCAATTGCCCTTTTCTTTCCAAATTTCTTCTTCCTTGGTACCATACAGGCCCCCATGCTTCTTTTCCTCTCCTCTGATGCCTCCTCCTCTTCCTGTTCATCTCCCTCAACCTGCTCAGATTCCTTGCTGCTGCTTTTGTGGAAGACCCTCGCCTTGTTCTTCAACTTCTTCAGAGGTACATTATCCTCTTCTTCATTATCTTCCTCCTTTCCCTGCGACTCAGTCACTTCTCTTCCAATCCATAGCCCCTTCTTTTGCAACCTTTCCTTCTTTATCTGATCTTGCCTGGCCTGGGTGTAGGCCATCCACAGTTCTACCATTATCCTTTTCCAGGTCCGACTCCCTTCCACAATTCCTCTTATTTTCTCCTTTTCGCATTTGTCTGATCTTGCGATCAACTGCTTCCTCTTTTCCTCCTCGCTCCATTCGCCCCTCTCAGTGGCTAGCTGCAAGCTCTCAATAAAGTCTTCCAGATTGGTCCCATCAAACCTTAAATCATCCTCCACATCATCCCTTGGGAATTCCCTCATGTCTCTCCATAGTCTCACCTTGCATACCCTCCACCTTGTGCAACCTGCCACCACTCCTTCAATTCTCCTCTTGTACGTTCTTGCTCCTCTCACATTCGCAATCCTTTCCTTGTCACCCATTCTCTCCTGAATGCGTACTCCTCAAGGTCTCGCAGGAAAACTCGCAGGTTGTCTTCAGCCCTTTAAATGGGCAGCTCCTCCAGGTTCCTTGAGATTCTCTGTTCCCTCCTCTGCCCTCCCTTTTTCAAGGCAGGTCCAGAGGTCCCTGCCACTGCTCCTCTCTGTGCCATGGCCTCTTCTTTCCAAGAGTCACGCTTGCATACAGAGAAGGAGCAAATGGCAAGGGACGAGGGTCAGATTATCATCAAGGCAACATTCCTGGTTAAACACAAGTTGACAATGTCCTCCTTTATCAGGTACTTACATACACGTCCATATACACATATATATATATATATATCATATATACATATATATATATATATACATATATATATATATATACATATATAAATACATGAGCGTATTTACACACACATATCCCCACTTATACCCCTCTGCATCCATTTATGTACACATACATACATATATATATATATATATATATATATGCATGTATGTATCCATATATGTATGAGCATAATCTTGGGCAATTGGGTACATACCTGCATAGAAACTGATTCACATATGCATGCTTAAATACCTTCCCAATCTATCCAAGCTTTCGTATCGTAGCTGAGCTTACCTCTTCTCTGACTCGGAACTTCTTCAGTCTAGATCATGAGACCCAGTCCTTCCTTGGAGTCCCATCCATCTCTTCCAGCTCATATGCCCCATGAAGTCCCTGTCTTCTGACTTTGAATGGTCCTAGCCACCGTTTGTCCAATTTCCGCGACCACTGCATTTCCAGAGAGGAATCGTAGAGTAATACTGTCTCGCCAACTTGTAGAGGTTCGAGTCTTACTCTAGGTATCTTGTCCCACCTTTCCTTATCCTTTCCCCTGCTGTCTGCAACGTTCATGGTTGCTTCCTGCACCCTTTCTTCAGTGACATTGATCTGTCTTGCCCTTAGATCTAGCAGTTCCTCCAAAGTTAAGTTGTTCTCCAGGTCCTGCCTGCGCCATGTCTTTAGGAAGCTTTCAATAGGAAATATGGCGTGACGCCCATACCAGAGTGTCGCAGGTGCATACCTGGTCGTTCTCATTACAGTGATGTTCTCCACAAAGAACACTGTTCTTAAGAACTTTGGCCAAAGGTTCGGCTTCCCACTGGTCCATTTGGCCAACAAGTTAGTAATCGTGCTATGGCCTCTCTCGACCGGTGCATTCGCCTGTGGATGAGCCTGAGTCGTATAATTGTCATTGACCCCCAATTCCTTCAGCAATTATTTCACTTCCCCACATGTGAACTCAGACCCCCTGTCCATTGTAAATTCCAATACGAAAGGATATCTAAGATAATATTCCTTAATACAATCTGCTAGCGTTGCCCCGGTCTTGTTCCTGATTGCTCTGCCATCAACGAACCCTGTAAGGTTATCCCTGACGTCAAATATATAGTTATATCCTCCAAGACCTAGTGGCATAGCTAGTAGATCCAGGTGAACAACCGCCTCTACTTCCTTGATGTATCTAGGATGCAGGGGTTCATTGTACCTGATAGGCGATCGAATTTGACAGGGCACGCATGATTCACAGTATTTTCGCGCCATCTCAAACATTACTTCCCAGTAGGAGAGCTTCATTGCCTTCTTATAAGTAACTGCGAAACTCCGATGTCCTCCAACTATCCCATCATGCAACGCAGCTACTACGTCAATCTGGCGATTCCTTCCACACACGACACGTCGTGGCGCCCCCCTCTTATCCCTGATGAACAAGTGGTCACCTCTCACCACATAGTGGTCTCTCATCCTGAGAATCTTCTCACTCACTTCTCTCTCTTTTTTATCTCCTGAGAGGAGCAACCCTATTTCTAAATAGAATCCTTCATACTCCTCTTCCCTGAATTCCTCTGAAATTTCTTCTTGTTCGAACTCTCCTTCCTTCTCTTCATCAAACTCGTAATCATCCCCAATAACTATCTCATCGGTCTTCACTATTCCTCTTTCATCATTCGCTTGGACTTGTAACAACGAATTTGTCACGGGGTACATTCTTCCTATCATGGCTACCTGTTCGTCAGTGTGTTGGACGCTTGCTTCGATCGTTCGCGGCTCATCCATTATCCTATAGTTCTCTGCCAGAGCCAACTCCATCATCCATTCCGTGTTTCTCTCGCCCCAAGAGTCCTCCTTTTCTAATGGTGTGAGTATCAAGGAAGGTTCTCTCATAAATTCGGGAGGCGGATGCCACATCGGATTTCCTCTCCTCATTTCCTTACTCTCGACAAACATGAACCAACAGTTCACGTGAGTTCGCATGTCTTCCCCTTCGTAAAAAAAACCGTCTACCGGAAGCATTTCTTCATTAGATTGCCCTTGACTTCCCCACTCAATTTTGCTCATCCCGTCGGCCCTGTTCTTGTTCTCAGGGATCCGCTCCAGCTGGAAGTCGAACATCCAGATATAGGTGAGCCATCTGGCTATGGTCGGATCTGAGGGCGAGAAGTTTTTTAGTGAGTACACAAGCGCCATAGGATCAATCCTGAGCACAAACCTCCTCCCAAAGAGGTAGTGCCTAAAGATCCTTAGGCAGTGCAAGACCGCCAAAGCTTCCTTTTTAAACTGCGAGCAGTTCTTTTCTGCCGAGTTCAGTGTCCTGCTTTCAAACCTCTGCGGCCTCTCCTTTCCTTCAATGTCTACCTGAATCAAGACGCCTCCCAAGGCGGTTGGTCCAGCGTCAGTTTCAACTATGAAGGGTCTTTCCATAGTTGCATCAAAGTCTGGTACCCCTAGTACCAGACCTCCTTCTCTGAACTCCTTCTTCAATTCTTCCACCACTTCCTCTTGATGGTTTCCCCATTCCCATTCCTGATCCTTCCGGACTAGCTTCCTTAGATGCTCTGTTTTGCTCGCAAATTTTTTATGAATCTCCTCCAGAACCCACAAGTACCAAGGAAACTTCGGACTTCACCCACATTTCTGAAAGGAGTAGGACATTCTAGAATTTTATTGGTCTTCTTCTTATCAGGGCACCGACCATGCTCGTTGCAAATGTATCCTAGAATGGTTACCTCTTTCACGCGGTGTCTTGACTTCACACCACTGGCGATGAGGTTGTACTCTTCTAACAGAGATAAGACTTCTCTTAACCCTTGAACATGTTCCCACACAAACTTTCTTACCACTGGAGCCACTTCTGACTCATCCTTCTCAATCGGACCCTTGACGGCAAGATCGTCTATGTATCGCTCGGTGATCTGAGGGCTGATTGGCTGCATTACCCTGATCATGCTTCGTAGCACCATGGCCACAACATTGGTCCATCCTTGTGGCGCAACATTCATATGGACTAATCCCCTTGGCGTGTGCATCGTCGTGATGGGACGGTCTGCCGGATAGACTGGAAACTTATCATATCCAGAGTAGAGGTCGATGAGGGACACAATCGACCTACCTGCACAAGCTTCTGATAACTTGTCAGCATTGGGCAGACCCCCTGCATCCCTTACAGTTACCGCGTTCAGTCGCTGGAGGTCTTGCACCCATCTGAGAACTCCATTTGGCTTTACAAAACAGAACCAGGGAGAGGCATATGGTCCACTGGAGTACCCTGCCACATCCGTGCGGATCTTCCCATCTAGGTACTCTACCACCCTTCTGCGATCCTCAGGGTTGGGATACTTAGACCCTCGGACATTCCATGGTTCATGAGGTACAGTATGAATACGGATCATTTCTATCTTGTCCACATCCAACCTTCCACGTTGATCATCGTTGAAGGCATATGCCCCATGTTTTTCACGTATCAGTTCTTTTACCAAGTCCTCCTCTTGCCTTGTCAGAAAGCCAGGTTCCCCTATTATCAGTTCTTTCTCAGTCTCATCGTCGATACGACAAGGCCCGTTCTGGATGTCTTCCCTCATTCGCTGTATCAGTTATTTTTCTTGATCATAATACACCGCTTTTTCTTGACTCACTAGAACTGACACAGGGTGACTCTTCTTATCTACCGTCTTGTACCTCCTTTTGGAGCCCTGCTTGAGTCCACCCCTAAAAAATGTTGATCGGCAGCTTGAGCATTCGGCGCATGCGGCACTATCATCTGAGTAGAAGGAGGTGGCCGGTAAACGAGATCGACCCTTCCTCCTTCCGGATCGTCCTGGATTCTTTCTTTGAGTGCCCTGACTGCGTCCAGATCAGCCATCCTATAAGCTGATACCAGTTCCACTGCGTCACTGATATTTGTTAGACTTAATACAAATCCTTTGACTTCTTCATCATCTGACTCCTCTTCTTGTTCTTCCCATTCCAATTCTCTCATTCTACCCTCAGATTCCTCGAAGGTGTAAGATCCTGCATTAAGCCTGTTCTTTGAGTTTTGCGGGTCTGTGTTCCTACAGGTGATAACCTCGAAGTTCCCACAGGCAGGATCGCACAAGATGACGAACATATTGCCGTCATGTTTGTTCATAATGAGTGATTCAGATCTGCACAGGAATGACCTTCCCAGCAATATTGAAAGGTCCAAGCTGGGGATGACGTAGAAGCACGTACGTACCTTGACTCTTTCTATTTCTATGACCATATTTGATGCGACACCAGTGTATCCAGTCTTGCTGCTGGCTCCGTTGAGGAACCCGCGATCATTCTCATCCACCTCCAACCCTAGTTTTACCGCGGTTTCCCCATTTACAATATTCATTTCTGCCTCGGTATCAACCATCCCAGGATGCATCTTTCCCTTTATCATAACATCAATGGATCCTGTGCCTACGAATTTCCAGTCCATTTTACTCCCTGCCACGCTCCCGTTTGCCTCTTTGGGAATCAAATCCCCCATTCGGACCGAGGCTACTCTCCGGCGTGATAACCTAGCCTTCACCATCTCTCTTAACTTAGGAGCTGAAGCGAGGATTTCTTTCAGGTTTAACAGTTCATTGTGCCCCTCCAACAATTTATTCACCAGGCCTTCCAGATCCACCCCTTCTTCGATCGAAGTTTGGTACTTTCTCTTCTTGCTTGGTCTCGTATCCCCTTTTGATCTTCCTTCCTTAGCTTCGCCTTTCCTTCTTTTAGCCCTTATCTCCGCCTGCCTTTCTTCTTCCTCCCTAATCTTCCCATCCTCATCCTCATCACCCTCTACCGTGATAGGTGGTTCTTCTTCTGCTGGCTGGGAAGCCTGGGCTTGTTCCTTTTGAGGATTCCCTCCTGCGGGTCTTCTTGTAGCGAATGGAATCGTTCCTCTCATACTTCTCTGACTTCCACTGTTCCTTGCGGCCATATTGGCTCTCAACATTCTCGGGTTTGGTACATTTGGCCCATCTCCCGTTCCCCCACGCCCCATGGTAAATACCTTTGGGCATCCAGCTCCTTCTTTTCCTGCTTCTTCACATATCCCTTGAAGCCTCAGATGTAGCCTCTGCATTTTGTCTACCAAGTCTTCCATCCTATCGAACGTGTCTCTGACGTTAGCCCTAACGTCTTCCTCCTCTGTTTCTTCTTCCACCAGCGGCACGTTTCCCTTGTTTTCTCCAATCCCCATCCTATTCACTTTCTCTTCCAAGTTAGTTATATCTTCCACCTGCACTACTGGTTCTTCCCGTTCCTGCCAAATTCGGAACATTCCTGGTGCGTTGGGACCAAGTGCGGCCATACAAAGAGCCTCTTCCCTTGTGACCCCTGGAATCTCAGGATCTATCACCCTACCATTTTGGTCGAACACCTCGCCTTCCATGTTTGACGTTATGAGTCCTTCACGCTCGTCAAGCTTCCTAACATGACATCGTTTAACCATGTGCTCTTTGATCGCGCAGTGGGTACAGACGCATTCACTGTAATCAATCCACCCCCTGCCATATCCTTGTCCGTTCCATTGTCCGTTTCCTCTACCATACCCCCTTCCGTAGCTTTGGTCGTATCCATGACCATACCCTTGCTGGTACTCCTGCTCGACTGGATTTGCACCCCGTTGGGGCTGCCCAAGTTTCTACCTTGGTTTCCACCTCCTCTGTTACCTGCTCCTCGTTCCCCTGGTCCCTGATTTCTACCACCATTCCTACCTCTTCCACGCCCTTGTCCTTGTCCTTGTCCTTGGGACCTGTTCTGGTTTTGGCCACCTTGGCGACTAGATCCCGTTTGGTTCTGACCCGTTAGTTGGAGTTGTCCCGTGTTTTGTTCTCCTCCCAAATTCTGATTCTGGGGTATCATGGGATATGGACCCTGCGCAGACCATGACCCTATCGGGAAGCTGTCTCTTATACACATCTAGATGTGTATAAGAGACAGCCCTTGTCCTTGTCCTTGTCCTTGGGACCTGTTCTGGTTTTGGCCACCTTGGCGACTAGATCCCGTTTGGTTCTGACCCGTTAGTTGGAGTTGTCCCGTGTTTTGTTCTCCTCCCAAATTCTGATTCTGGGGTATCATGGGATATGGACCCTGCGCAGACCATGACCCTATCGGGAAGTATCCAGGCCATGCTCCCATAGGCGGACCCACGGGCCATTGTCCATATTGTGTTGTGCTGCTTGACGGCTCATGTCCATACTGGACTATCGCTTGTTGAGTTACTTGTCCTTTTCCCGAGCCTTGTCCCCCAATCGCGATATTTTTAGCCTTCCTCTGACACTTGGTCAGTTTGCCCGTTTCTTCTGGTCCTCCATCTTCTGCCTCTTCCTCTCCATCTTCCTCTTCCTTCCTTTTCTTTCCTGATGGCTGTGTCACTGTTAACACTTTCGATGGTATCACCCTTTCCCTAAGCTCTTTTATCTCGTTGGCCATATTGCTCAATACTCCCCCAAGTATACTATCCATTCCTTGGTTCGTCCCTACTGCCTTTCTTTTCTTTCGTTCGACCTTTATTTGGTGATGGAACACTTGGTCCATGTCTCCTGCCGCGATGTTTCTCTTTATGGTTTCCTAGGTCGTCTTTTTCTCGGCGGCTCCCCCTCGAGTTAGTTCCATTGCCTCATACCCAGAGAATTTCCCTAGGAATATGACGCACTGCATCTCTTCAGACAGTCCCGGGACCCTTTCGGCTGTCTTTTCGAATGTATTGGCGAATGCCCTGATCGTGGTGAAGTCATCTCTGTTCATGTTATAGAGATGGTCAATTGTGAGCAGGCCATCTCCTAGCTTATACGTCTTTTGCATGCCCTTTTTAAACTCAGCCCAATCATTGTTGGACTTTCTCAGTACCTCTTCTTCGTCAGAGGTGCACTCCCACCATACGTACTCGAATAATTGGGCAAACTTCTCGGCTTGGGTCAATTGGTTGAATATCTGCTCGAGTAGTTTCAACCAATGTGTCACTCTATCCCCTTTGAATGGGAAGATGTTTATCCTTGGTAGGTTAGATCTTTTTATCGTCCTCTTCTCCAGCAACTTGGCGATTTCTGCCGCGGTGATTGGCGGATCTCCATTGGCGCTGGCTTCGCCCATCTCTCTTCCCTTTTTCTTTCTTGGTTTCTGCTAGACTGCAGACCCTGTTAAGACACACAAAACGACCATTGATCCAACTTCTTCGTCACTATCTTGACGTATCCTTTATTCTTGTCACTTAACTTACCCCATGTGACTTCTCATATCCCTTTTCTCTCAGCCGAGTATCTCTTCTAGGAGTATCTAGAGAAGGGCTGGTAGATGAAAGGTCACTTTCACTATTGCCTGCCTTTCCCTTGTGGTCCATCCAGTTTCTATCCAAAGGAAGGCTTCTTGTCCTATCGGTATCCTGCACCATGACTCCATTTCCTCATCCAAATCTATTGTCCTCTTCGACAGTGTCATTTTGACTCCTCCTTCCCTTGGCTCTGGCAGGTTGACCAGGAAGCTCCGATCAGCGAACCACATCAAAGGAGTCATCCTGGTATACCTGTTACAACAACCAAAGAAAGGACCTTTCTCTCCTTAGTAGCTGCTCAATTTTCCCATTTCTTAACAATTTCCTATCTCAGTCTTCCTTGAACACCGCTTTCTATTTGATCGAGGATCCCTTGCTTCAGTTCCTCCCAGTAAACATGCCTACTTTCCCAATCATGCCGACGTGCATATGAGTCGACCCTTGATAGTATGTCTTGCTGATCCCTATCTTCAATCAATTGCCTTATTTCTAGGTATAGGTAGTATACCAGCAGAGGGGTAAACGCGTGATATTCTCTTTCAAGTATCGCCATCGCGACTTCCGCAGCCCCTTTCTACTCTAGGCCTCCCTCCGAAGGCTGCATCTATGATGAACATGGGAAGAATTCCCCTTAGAAATGCTGCGGGCGGAAGAAATTCACTGGCCCTTCTTACTCTCACTGTTCCTATCACTCCTTCAAACCCATTTAAACTTGCATCTCTTCTCCTAGATTCGAGCGCGGATTCTGCTATCCATAATATTTGGAAAGAGATCAATCAATTCCCAAGAAAGATACAGGGTAACCCTTTCTACCGCGCGATTTTCGCCTCTAACCCATCCAGACTCGATCCAAATGAAAGTTTGTTCCTCTATACAAATCCCCCTACAATACCAAGGGTGTTTTCTCGATCGCCATAGCATAGGCATACGCGCGGTAGAACGCCTTAAGATTGACCCGTATGTCGAGCCTCGAGGTATTAACTCTCAGGACCGACTATCTAATCAGGTTGACTTCTCGGACAGTCTTCCACGCTTAACTAACTATGACAATGACTCTATGTTCCCTTTGTTGACGTTATGAAAATGCTAGAGTCGAACCCTTAGTGATCTCTCATTTTTCTCAAAAGAAGTCCCAGACAAATGACTTTCTCGGTACCGACTGGCCTACGATCCCATTCACAAGTATATATATATATATATATATATATATATATATATATATATATATATATATATATATGTAATCAGGGGAGCTGACTGAGCGGTGGACCTCACTTTCACAATTGTCGTGTCCCTTTGCCCGAATTTCTCAGACGATCCCAAACTCAGAAGACAACACAGATGTCCAACACCTGTGCAGCTGCAAGAAACAACATACACACATACAAATGCAGACACAAAATGCGCTAGAAGCGTCAACCTTTAATCCATTCATAGCATGCCAGTCACGCCTCAAACCCTTGAAAACAACATTCCTTCCTAACCCTGACTCCTTTTTCCCCAGCCCCACACATTTTTGAAGATTCCTGAGTGTGATTTGGATAATTTAGGCATAGATACAGGGGGAAGATTTATCTGTTCCCTTCTTAGGTCTTGTCTTAGGTATGGGTATCAAGCCATGGTGGAAGTTAAGTCGGATAACTACCGACCTGTTATCCAGAGATAACATAATTTTTGTTCTTACGGATTCCTCCGTAAGTCCTCCGAGGTGTCGAAACTTGTAGACACAACACAGTCCAAGAGAAACTTAACATCTCTCTTCCTAACTGAAATCTAGAAAGTTTCCTTCTAGACTCTGTGTTTTCTGTCTGACTCCTATCCTTAACTAATCGTTAGGGTTGTTGCCCTCCGCTTCAGGTAGTGAATAATAGTTCACCCCCCTTTTTACTGTCGTAGTAATTCTCCATATCCCTTTCACTATCTCATTCCTATCCCTTTTCTTGATTATCCTGTCTGAGTTCTCTTCCTTCTTCCAACACACATGAACACATCATCAATCCAATCTGCGGAAAGAATCTCATGGAAGGGATCAGACAAATGGATAGTCTCTCTCTGAGGTAAGATCTCACTTATCCCCTCTCAGTAGAATCAGAAATAGTTAGTTAGGACGGAACAATGCAGATTGTGGAAAAAGTTAGAGGTGGTATGGCAGACCGTTCAGGATATATGATATATTCACTTGTTACTGGAGCTTTGTTGGACAAAGGCAACTCAGTGGGCCTTGGCCCCTGTGTGCCAAGCACATTTTAGCGGTAGGCTTATCCTATGACTAGCCACTGATAAGGCAGGTGTCCCTAAAACCTTACAACTTCTTATATCGGACTAGTCACTGATAAAACAGGATTCCCCTGCTACTCTTATCACTGACTAACCCTCAATAAGGTGGGTGTCCAAGGATCCTTACTACTCTTATCACTGACTAAGCCCTAGCATGTTCATTGATAAGGCAGGTGTCCTTGAAACCTCACAACTTCTTATATCGGACCAGTCACTGATAAGACAAGATTCCCCTGACACTCTTATCACTGGCTAACCCTCAATAAGGTGGGTGTCCAAGGTTCCTCGCTTACTCTTACCACTGAAAAGAATGTTAGGTTTAATCAGTGATAAGGCATGTGTCCTTGAAACCTYACAAATCTTATATCARACTAGTCACTGATAAAACAGGATTCCCCTGCTACTCTTATCAGTGGYTTSCCCTCMRTAAGGTGGGTGTCCAAGGGTCCTCGCTTACTCTTACCACTGAAAAGAATGTCAGGTTTAATCAGTGATAAGGCAGGTGTCCTTGAAACCTCACAAATCTTATATCAKACTAGTCACTAATAAGACAGAATTCCCCTGCTACTCTTATCAGTGGCTTGCCCTCAAGAAGGTGGGTGTCCAAGGATCCTTACTACTCTTATCACTGAAAAAAATGTTAAGTTGGTTAATGATAAGGCAAATGTCCTTGAAACCTCACAACTCTTATATCAGACTTGTCACTGATAAGACAGGATTCAGCTGCTACTCTTATAAGTGGCTTGCCCTCAATAAGGTGGGTGTCCAAGGGTCCTTGCACTTACCACTGACCAAGCGTAAGGCTCATTTGGAGTTAAGGCAGGATTTCCCTGCTATTCTCACCCCACACAAGTCTTATTTGCGGCTC